AGAGAAAACGACCATCAGGTTATTTAAGTTAATTGGTCAATTTCACTGGAACTTAGGGTATCAAATATGGCTGTCACAGCAGCCATTTTTGGAAACAGTTCCAACTTAACCCAGACGCATAGATGCATGTAAGCAGAGACGTATAATACATACACAAATTTCACATAAACAAAATAATGTATTTATTGTGTTGCGTCCCAAAGAATGATTTAATGTTTATTTTCAGTTAAAAAAAAATGGCGGTTTTTGTCAATAACAATAAACCATAGATTTCATAACGAATGCTACAATCGGTATTGGGTATCAAGAAACTACAGCGGCCGACACTCCTAGGATAGCTAGATGACGAACTGTGCATGCATTTCGTTTACATCTAGGCACATGTAATTTGAAGGTCTAATGGACAGAGATAGCTGTAACTTGATAGGGATGATTGACAGATGATGCGGACAAATGTGCTGATTTTCAATCCAATCAGAACCTTCCAACGTGGCTGCTATAATGTATTTCTGGAGAAAACCATCTGTTCTTAAGTTAATACAATTACTGTGCTCAACAAATGTAAAAGAACTAACCAGGTTTAGCAAATATATATATGATGCCACTAAATTGAGGAAGACATTGATACAATGACATTTAAATGTGTCAAATCTTTTGTCCATTCTCCACTGTGTTTTGCAGTGTCTGCCAATGTATTTATATTGTTACATGTACAATGATGAGCTGGAAAGCTTAAAGTTAATAAAGAATAGAATACCCGCCATTTTTAAAACCTATTTTAAACATAAAGTGTTTTACATGGAATATGTCCCCGAGTTTATGTTCCTCAACAAACAATGTAAAACAAAACAAAACAACCAGTTTGTTTCAGTTTATTTATTACATGAGACAACAGAGACAACCTAAGTAGCAATGTTTGTTTCTTAACCCTTTCACCCCTAAGTAACTTTAGTAGACTCTCCCATGTATTGACATGGATGAGTCTAGTATTGTCTACAGTGGTGAAAGGGTTAAAGAATCTAGGACCAAATAACATGTGATCCTCTAATGAATACCTCCAGCCCATTTAACACTGAACACACATCCCGACTATTGGGGGGAAATCCTGACAAAAACTTTTCCAGCATGGTAATGATAATTTGTATAACTAGAGATTTGTTTTATGAACCAAGACATTTATGTCTCCCATTCGCTTTACATGTGTTTGACCTTTGATCTGGAGGTGAAGGTCATGGTGACTTTAGCGTACTGCACACTTTCTGTCGGTGATGGATGTACTCTTTATTAGTTTCACCAAAATAGCATGAATTTTTCAAAAAATTTACACCCAAAACAAGCTGTCTGGTTAATGTAGGTAAACTTTAGGTTTCTACAAAATATCTTTACAGTTCTAACATTATTTACCAGACAAAATTTCCTTGAACACTTTGTATATATTTGACCTTTGGGCCCGTTAACAGTGATCTATTTACAGTATACTGCACATCTTGTAATACAAGGACTGTTATATATTCATCAAGACAAATTTTCACGGTATAAACGTTATGGCCAGAACTACAAATGTTGCACTTTTCCAACCTTTGCCCTTGGGATGAAGGTCACGTGGTTACCTTATAACAGTGCATTGCACACATCCTACGAGTTATGCTGCATTTTTCAAGTTTCACCAACTTAGCTTTTTGCAGTTTAAATGTTACAGCCCTGAACAGATTACATCAGAAGAGGAGGGACCAGATCAACAGTATGAGCCGTCTTCTTTTATTTGAAATGGAGACAATGATGAAACATTTCCCCTTCAAACGGGGTTTTGGATTGTAACCTGTATCTTTTATCATCAACAAGAAACTCTCTCGTACAGACATCACCAGTCTGAATCAAGGTATCCAGTCAGTAATCTTGTCCCTTAGAATAAGCCTGTCGTTTTCTGAACAGTAAGACAATAAGTGATGTGGAAATGGAAACAGCGAGCGGATATGACTAATACCACAATGAACGCCAATACACATCTCCATGGTGTCACTGAACCTGTCTATGAAGTAGTAGGGTAGAGTATATAACTATGTAGGGTCACTGTACTAGTCTACAAAGCAGGGTCGAATGTACACTTCAGTGAACCTGTGACATACCTACCAAAATCTCGACAATGAAAGAGTAGCCATAGAGTGTCATAGATGGTATATGTAACTTTCCAATGGCATTAAAACCAGTAGTATGACTACTAAAATTTGCCTTTCAATATATTAGTATGTCATGTCTTTTCTAAAGAGCATTTCAGAATATAATGCTCCAAATAACTGAATTATCACTGTTTTTCAATATAGGGAAAAGCAGTGCATATGCAGGAGATTCCAAAAATACTACAATCTGTGCAGCCAGCTCAGAGGTCATTTGCAGTTTGACCTTCACAAATTTGTGTGCCTTGCAGCTACACATGTACCAAACAGGGTAAAATGTATAAATATATATGTAATATGCATGGTTAAAGAGCACCAAACCAATTCTTAAAACATTTGCACAGTGCAAGCATGACATACAAATGATGATAGATTAATCACAATCAGCTCCATTTTTTAAACCATAACATTGATTAAAAGGGTATGTATATTCACTTTTATATTTACAAAATACTTATGTTTCCGGTTGGTTTTTTTATCACAAAACAATGACAAGAAATAAAAATATTTCAAACAATTTATCAAATAGTTCATGTTAAATTAATGCTACTTAATTTCCAAAATTAAAATAACTTGGATATTGACTTTTTGTGTTACTCGGGGAACATGTCTATTATTTGTACACATTTCTTACTTCTTACTGAAGAAAGACTAAAAAAGGATTTTTTACACACATAAATCTCAAATGAATTTCCATTACATTTCGTTGTTATAAACAAGCTCCAGCGAGTTTCATAAAATTCAGAAGGAATGGAAACAGGAAAAAGCAAACCAAAGCACTACTTGTTTAGACATTGCCGTGATATCTTGATGTCATAATATTATTCCTCATAATGTCACAATGGGCGAAATTACACGTTACATATAGAAAATGTATGTGATGTTAATATACGGCTTGTCGATGCCATACTCACACAGTGTTAGAGGTTTACAAGGCGAGATACTTTTGACAGGCGCCGTCGCAGTCGGCAATATCATATCCCCTAGAAAAAAGGCTGACCAGCGGCCTCTTGTGTTACAGGAGTAAACCATGCCAGTTCAAGTATATGATGGTATGTGTATTATCATTACTAGTTTCTCCTTCCATTTTGTATTTTACTTGTATGAAACCCAGGTTTAACATGCCTTACTTCTACTTGGGCATACATTTCCTATTTTGGAGTAACAAGAAAACATACTTGAGCCTATATTTCAACAATGCCTACATTTCAACGATGAAATAATTTCGTTGGCCATTCCTATGACAACTAGACTGAGGTTACGACTGTGAAGTGTACTGGACCTTCACTGGAGTTGGCCAGTTTATATTCAATGCCAATTTTAGAGAGTGTGGTGCTTATATTCAGGTTTGCTTCATTTTCATGTCAAAACTGATGTGAAAAAGGAACATCCAGCCATGACATCATCATAAATATCTATTAAACCTTGAAACTGTATTGTAAATATGTTTTGATGATAATGTTGACAATAGCACCAAATTACTTATTGTAAATAACACAAAATGCCAGCACAGTAAAACTTCAATAGTACAACTTGTTCTTCAGCTGGATAATTCATCAAAGGGACCTTAAAATGGAGTTGACTATCTTTTCAAATATGTTGTTTAACTCATTCACCCCTAAAGACTTATTTGAACTCTTCCAATTCAAAGGTTGGAATAGTTCATTATGAAATCTCAGGGGTGAATAAGTTAAAAACATCTTCATATTGATATCCTTATGAAGCGATGTCATTGTCTTTTTAAAAATATATAACACATATACCAGACTTTCATTAGAAATCTCCAAATCATCGGCATTGAAGGTCATGGTATTGATCTTTCTGAAGTCAAGCCTATTAGCATAAATCATTTTGCTAGATGAACACATAACAAAGATAATACACTACTGATACTTTACCAACTGTATTTTCCTGTTGACCCTTTCACCACTGTAGACTATAATGGACTCATCCAGATCAAAGCATGGAAGAGTTTACTAAGGTTATATAGGGGTGAAAGGGTTAAGTCCCTATAACCCATTATATTTAGTTCACTACAATAAATCATGTGTCAATCATTCTCATTAATTGATAGGTGAGAATAAAGTTTCATGACACACTTGTACATGATGGGAAGATCACTGCAGTTGGATTTAAATAGTTAATACCTAGTACAGAAAACTTGAATGGTAGGTCAGTCCATGTCAAGGTTCAGTCTAAAACAGCATCATGCAAAGTAAACAGCGCACACATCGTGAGTATCTGTAATATTTCATACATAGGGGAGATAAATCTATCTTTAAAAGACAAACACATATAACAAAGCAACAATACAGCATACCCTTAAATAATCCATTAACAAAACAGAAATGATAAATAGTTATCTGTACACTATTCACAGTGAAGTATTTACAAACATGCATACACAGACACAGCCTGACATACATTTGATAAACCAGCAAGTAAGCGAATAGCTGCTTCGTAATAAAGCTTGCTCGTTTATCATAATAACATTTGATTACTTACAAAATAAAGACCAGCTCTGTTATCAACAACAACCATCAACATTCATCACATCCTTGATATCCAGGAGTTACACTCACTTTCGCTCTCTGCACCCCTAGAATATGTCAAAGCAAAATTGAAGGCAGAAAGATAGCTGTTTGATTTGTCTCAGGTAAAAAAAACACCTGACCAATCGCTAGGCTGATACCTGTCCTTTGAAGATTACAAAGGGGCGACATCTGACTTCAAAGCCTGTCAACTTTTACCCTTACGTGACCGCGAGATTCTTTTGATATACATCAAAGGATCAAACTAGTCTTCTTGTCTCATCAACAAGGTGGCACACGCTGAGCCTTCAATTTTGCTTGGACATATTCCAGGGGTGCAGAGAGCGAAAGTGAGCGTAACCCCTGGATGTCGAGGTCATCAGGACAGGTCCACATGTTTACCTGTGATTATGTGTCCATTTAAGACACCCAGTCACGCATTACAAGAGGAGGCACTTATGATACCCAATCACCCTAAATATCCTATCACTGTGCAGTGGTCTATCTGTACACCTTGGAACATAATAATTGCAGCTTCTATGTAGTATCACTATATACATTGACATGATGTAGGAACCCTTCACAGATACACCAGAAGCACAGTGTTAATAAAATGTGTCTAATATCAACTCAACATTGGTAATAAAAGAATATGCCTTCAATTTTATCATGTGTAAAAACTGCTAGGACATTAACGACAATGAATTATATCGTCAATTCCAGTGGTATTGCATTCTCAATCTGACATCTCTTTCTCTGCAGTCATTCACATTATGATATTGCTATTCGGTAATTCACACATATAACACCCGACGTTATTAGAGCAACACTTCATTATTATATGTTTTGTATTAAGTTTTCCACTAGGTTAATTACAGGGATGATAATGAGAATGTATAATCAACCATTCACCAGTGTAATAGACACTCTCCTAGGCAGAATATACCACTGTACAAGTGTATCATACATTGATAGAAATGACTCTTTGTGTACGTCACAATGTACTAAATACGATATGACACTATACATGATATTGTACTCAGTAGTAACTGACATTGCATTATGTGGCTCATTACAGTGGAACCCACTTATAATGATATCGGTTTTTATGATATTTTCCCCATGTACCGATTTTTTCCTTCTTTAACTAAGCAAAAGAAAATTCACTTATTATGATATGGTCGAAGGTGGGACCCCGCTTATTATGATATATTTTTTCTGCCGTGAATGGATTTTACAAGGTAAAAACTCAGGTAAGTTGTCCGTGTGAAACACCCGGACAATTGAACAATAGGTCCGGCTAACTGTACATCGCCCGGGGTGATCATCTGTCCACTCCAGGTAATTTTTTCACACCTCGCTTCACCCCCGTCAGCGGAAAACAATAGAGCGACCATCCCTTGCCGGTCATACATTTTAGTCTTAACAAAACATATTGTATATTGTACTAGGTAGTACATGACACTGAACAAGTTAGCATGTTACATTATATTAACGACACTGTATCAAGCAGCACATGACAAATGCCTTTGGCTTCACCAGAGGTGTGGTTCATGTTGTGGCATCCGCACAACGCCCACCCCACCTCCTAATCTTCGATAGTTCATGCCTCCACACAATTTCCAACAGTTCTGTTCTGGGTCATACACTTCAATTGTCTTCAGGTAGGTTGTACCATCAAAACCTCCAATAGCCATCAATTGGCCGTTAACTACAGCCAGTCCTACCTGTTAACAAACACAGGTATACTTACAGAATGTTAACATGGACATGCGTAGTGTGAACATTTAGTTACCTAATGTTAACAAATAAGGAATACTTGTACATATTATGTCAACAAATTAATAAAATACAGACATACATAAATACATCTTGTTTACAAAGAAAAGTTGCGAGCAATCCATACCCCCCTCCCCACGAGGTACTTACAGACAAAAGCTAACAATGTATAGGACATAACGACAGTGAAGAAATGAGATCAGAAATATAGGCATATACAAATATGTAATGTTAAGCACAGACATGTTTAAATAAGGGTAACAAACGTATACTTGACTTCTATACACCCTTTTGACAAACACAGGCACAGCTATACTTGAATACATGTCAATAAATCCATACTTCTATATAAAATGCTAACAGACATCCAGAGTTCAATATTAACAAATACAGACATACTATATAAGATAATGTACCTCTACAGAAGGAATACTGACTTACAATATCAGCAGACCTATATACAGTGTAATTGTGTATACAATATACAGATGATACCCTGTTGCAAAGTGTATTTATCTTCATTAAATTACTCAAATGTATTTAAGCCAGTTAAAATTTCATAATTTTCAGATACTTTTTACAAGACACTTACCCCACTTCTGCGAGATGTCATGGCTACAACAGGTTGCCAGGTATTTGACTGTGGATTGTAGCGCTCTGCACTACTGAGCTCAGTCGTGTCATCACGGCCCCCTACAGCATAGATCATGTTGTTGTACACCGCAACACCAAGATGTTTCCGGCGTGTACCCATTGGTGACATTGGCATCCAGCGGTTCGTTCTCGGGTCATATCGTTCAACTACAAAACATAAATTAATCTGTCAAGACATCCTGATGTTTATTAAATGGTTTATCTATAAATATATCTATAGTCAATGAGAAAACATGTAATATGTTTTTAGATGTTTTATAAAATCTGAAATTTCTGCATGATTGCTTTGGTTGGGCGGTGATCTGATTCCATGTGGCTTATGTCAGTACTCAACACATACACTAATCAAGAAGTGTGTGTAGAATAAGATTGTTTTTCCATAAAGCATCACAATATTTTGCGTCAAATAATCCGAAATGCGTCAAAAGTAGGAGATGACGTCACTTTATACCTTTATGACATCATACACAACTATTTCTCTGGAAACTGTCACGACATGTCCATGTTTGAGGAAATTTACACCTGAGCTGGTGATCTTCAAATTTTTATCATGGTCATTTAATTCAACAGATTTGATAGCGAGGTTATTCTTGCAAGCTTCTAGAAAAATGTAACAAATCTAGACTTATTCAGGACAACCAGTAGAAGATGTTTCAGGGTTTACCCGTTTAACCAATGCAAACAAAAGGTATCTCAGTGTTATTTATTGTAACAAAATTGATAGCCCTTCCCACTAACAATACATTGACGTCATAATAATCAAACGTCATAGTTGACAAAACAGTTGTAGAAACTTCAAATTGGTCCAGTCACATTTTCGGCAGTCTAAGATTTGAAATCATTTTGGGAACTTAAATTTCACTGTAAAGCAATTCTAATAGAAAAACACCAAGGGTCTAAGTTTACAAGTTTATCTGTGAACTAACTTCCACTTTATTTTATATATGTATTAGAATTAATTGATGAATTTATTTCACACTAGATATTTTTAGTGTGTTAACCTGGGTACATACAGGTGATAACTTGTTATTGTATATATTTATGTGAAGGTGATTATTATATAATTAACTGTCATTGATCATGCATCACATGTGAACTTTGTGTGTGTATATGATAGCTGAAAAGTCATACGTATTCCTACCCTACAGTTCAATCTCACCTAGCACTTATATCTTGCAACAATGTGATTAGTAATCTGTAATAATATATTTCCATGGCCATTTATTTTACAGCTTCATTGCCAATTACGAATATAGAGAAACTTAAGTTAACACTTCTGACAGAACTTACCTGTGTTTAGCGGACATGTACCATCACTACCCCCTACAGCATACAGGAAGCCACCTAAAACAGCCACGCCCACCCCTAGTCGCCGTGTACTCATAGAGGCAACTTTTGTCCATTTGTTGAGCTGGGGATCATATCTGTATTATAATAATATGAAGTTTTGCGCATCATCATAACATCCACTTTCTTTTTCTAAGTTTAGAGTCCTCTTAAAAAGTTACTTTAAACAAATCTGAATCAAACTAATTTTGTACTTTCCAATAATATTTTAAATTCCAAAATAGATGCAATATGTAGGACCCACTTCCGTGTAGCTGTTAATATGCACTTCTTGCCATCAATTATTAAATTATTATTGAATTAAACCATTAATAGTATATTGACGAAGTCCAGTCTAGTATCTAGTCTCAAAACCACTTTTGATACAGTTGTCATATTATAGTTGTCATAGTAAGTTGTTGGAAGTAAATAGTTGTACCTCTCCACAAAGTTGAGACAGGAGACACCGTCCTGTCCCCCTACGGCATACATGTAGCTGTCGAGGACGGCCACTCCCACACTGGTACGACAAGAACTGGTGGGTGCCACATCCCCACTCCACTGGTTGGTCTGAGGGTCAAACCTGGTCACAGACAGAATCCAAGTAACCATATTAAACTCCATTGGCTGGTCTATTAGTCAAATCTGACTACATAATATAACTAAGTTGACAATATAATACTCCAACGGTTTACCTGAACACAAATATTACTCACTTAACTAGTGCTGTTTCGATTAATCGAGCATTGGTCAGTTCAGCTAACAAACTGATTAATCGAGTACAAAATCTATGATCGATTTTAGTCGGAATGCTAATGTGTAGATATTATCAATCTGATTAAAATCATATCCTACGTTCTCTACGTATCTAATGTGATACGTAGAGAACGCAGGATATGATTTTAATCAGATTGAGATATTATGTAGTTTTCAGTAGACATTTTCCCCAGCTAAATGTAAAATTGATGGCATCATCACTGCATGACTTCCTTTCAGCTCATAGCTGCTAGTTAGGACTATATATTACAGATTCAGTGTTTGAAGAGAGGTATTTCTTATATTATAATTACATGGTATCACTTTTTTATTTGCCTAAGTGACTCGCAACAACAGCATGGAGGATTTCATTATGTATTTCTATAAAACGATTATTAATCGATCATCGGTTGGTTAATGGTAACCAATGATCGATCATAAAACTTCAACCGATTCCCAACACTACACGTAACCATATTACACTCCACAGGTTTTTCTGAGGACCAATTTTTTCTACAAACATATATCTCAACTGAAAACATTCTCAATTTCAAATATGAAGCATCATATTCAGACTAATAACTTATGATAACTTATAAATCTTTCTACAAGATTTATTTTTAAGTTACAAGACATAACTACCCCTTTACTTTATCACTGTCAGATACTTACCTTTCAATGCTATTGAGATAAGACTGTCCATCATGACCCCCTACAGCGTACAGGAGGTCATTTAGTACAGCAACACCGACCCCACAGCGACGCTTGCTCATTGGGGCCACCATCCGCCACTCGTTTGTCTGGGGATCGTATCGCTCCACGCTGGAGATGGCATCCCCACTACACCAACCTCCAACTACACAAATAAAGGTGCAGGCACAGATTATTATAAGATTCTTTCATGTCCAGGGGTGTAGGATAGGGAAATTCCACCCCGAGGGGTTTTCAAATTTGGTAAAACCAGAGGCTTTGCCAAGGGTATTGCCAAATTTGAAAATCCTGAGGATGGAATTTCCTTATCCTACACCCTTGGGCATGAAAGAGTATTTTTCTCTCATTCCAACTACCAGAATATGCTCAGAAACCATGAAAATGCGTTTGGACTGGCTAGCATTTTATAAATATCAATTTTTCCCTGGGGTTTTTTGACGAAAATGAATTCGTCAGTGGGATTTAGCATACCCCATATTTGGATACATAGTTTGATTCTATGTCCAGAAAAATTAATCTCATCTTTCTACTTGTACGGTAAATATATCGTAAAAGGTTTTGATTTTATCACCTTGCCTTTTCCGCATTGCGGCATCAGTGTTTTCCAAATTCATGACGTCACGCCCATGTAAGATAGTCTCAGTAAGCATGGCTATCTTACATGGCCAGCGCTAGCTTACATGACCGGATATGAGAGAAATACATATGTCGGTCCCTATGTATTCTGCCTGGTATAAACACATTTCCAAACAGTTTCCAAAAGTATACACAAAATCAATGTCAACCTTAAGCTTGTTTTACGAATTGCAGCAAAAGAATAATCTTATTATGATATTTATAGACAATGATTGCAGTATCTTGATATAATTAAAGATATAATCGAACAATGAAAATGTACTATATATAACAATTTTAATATCATGCTCTAGAACAATCGAAATGTGCTTTTATTACCCTGTTTCTTTGACAATCTTAATGACAACAGAATGCTGTTATGTTATTTAAATACTTTGAGTTCTCAACCGAGTTTTCTGTACATGACTCTTTTGATTAACAATATCATACCAGCAAACAGCACTTCTCCACATCGGATCGGTTTGCGAGGTCTAGTACGTGGACCCTGCATTAAGGGGCGCTCCTGAGGCAGGAGGAGATAATTCTTTGCTTCATCCAACAAATCTCTGCAGGAGTCGTCACTTTTGATGAGAAGATCAGAGCCGACTGTACCAACGAGGAACTTTGGACTCATCAATGGCAGTCGCACATGTTGAACAACCTACAACAAAAACGACATATTTAACTTATATGTATAGGGATCCATCAGTATGAGGTTTTTATCTTCAGGCTGATATTGACATATTCTATTAAGTGTATTTTAATACAATTTGTACATTTTGTATAAATTTGCATTCGTGGATTTTAAGAAGAATTTAATGGACTTTCTAAAATACTAGACCTCTGTATGACCCTGAAAGTATATATCAAGAAAGCCTTTTAACAGCTTTTAATAGAATTGACCCCTGTGACCTTGATGCCACTTATTTGAATACATAAAAAGGCCCATGCCATCAGACCAGCAAATTACATGTCAAGTATCTTTATAGACAATATTGTTCTTTAAAAGATCCTGTTTTCTCTAAATAACTAGGTCTATGTAATCTACTAACATGGGTAGCCCTACTTTGTTTTGAAATTTGTGGCAGTATATATGTAACGTAATTAAATTGTTAAAACTGAGTTGTATTGGTGACCTAATTAAGCAGAGTCAGTAAAACAAATATATTTCATAGGACTGTAATCATCACGATAAAATGAGGCAAATCTTAAACAGCAGTAGATTTTTACCCATTCTACTCCATATAAGCTTGTATTCCAAACCACTATAACAATTGATGATTTTAAGTTATTTTTACCTGGGTGTTTTTTTTAAGAAATCTGGGTCACTGCTGTGGATTAATGACAGAAGTGATATCAAAAGTGATGCATTTCAAAAGATTAGGATAGGACACTTTATTTCATACTAAATTTTGAAAGATTGCAACGTCAAATGTATCCAATTCTCCGACTGTGAATATTAATATTTACAGATTTTGTATATATACATGTTCATGTATAAAAAATCCTTTTCGCTTGGCAATGGTTAATTATACATTTGTATATTCGTTTTTTAATACAAGGTGCTAAAGGGAACAGAGATTTATTCATATACATTATGATTTAAGCTCACGTTTGGGAGATGCGTGCGTCGGTCCTGGATGTTGTACTTGACCCAGGCCATAACAGCACTGTACACTTGCTCCTCGCTGCGCACATTGAGCTCGTCACTGGAAATGATGTCCACTAGTTGGTTCACAGGCAATAACAGGAACTCTTCACTCTCCATTACCTGGTCACAGCATTTACATTACAATTACACACAAATGATAATATAATATCATACCATAGTGTTACGAATGTTAGATAGTTTTACAAATGCAAAAATAGCATTACCATCATATTATTATTATTAATCTGTAGCATTATTTACCTTGTAATACAAAAGTAGTTATTTACATTTGAGGTCATCTCACTGTGAAAATACTGCTCAATACATATTACATAAAAATGTGGTGAAATAAAAAAAAATATATAAAAAAGTTATCATATCCTGTTGTAAATATTGTACATTTTATGTCGACCACAAGTGAGATGAGTCCTCGACTCAATGTGTTATCAGATTTAAATAAAGTCTATTATTATTATCATATAGTAAAAGGAATCAACAAGAGCGAGCTTTCGGACATACAAACCTCTTGAAAATTATGCTGTGTGAATTTGTCTGCAATTCTCAACAAGTCCCTACAAGCGTGTGTATCGGCGAAGGCACGGATTCCCAGACAGTTGGAAGGATCTAACTGTCGCTTGAGAAACTCGCAGCACACCTCCTGGATTTCTGCTAGTTGAAGCAGACAGGCTGCAGGTAACAGAGTCTGGACATTACTCTCCTCTACCGTAATGTTTGATGTGTAACAGAAGTCTACCAACAACTCCATAGCACTCTCGTCTATATCCCGTATTGTCACCTCTGTTTGACGGCTCTCTGCCAGCTCTCCAGTGAACATGGCATGAAAATAAGGGCTACATGCCGATAAGATCACACGATGAGCAAATATTTTCCTCTGGGCCACAATGAGAACAACATCACACAGTTCTCGGTGCTTTCGCAGAACATTGATTGAATCAAGGGTGTGGCGAGGGTGTTTGTCTGAGGTGTAGGCCAGTCTGGCTGGGGAAGGTGGACGATCCATGATTCCAAATGAGTGACTTGGAAGCACGTCCAAGGTTTCAGGCTCCAGATTTCTGAGTTGGTAGGAACAAATCAGGTGGTGTTTTTTTGGATAGCTCTCTTAGAACTTCCTATATATCTGCACAAAAATCAAATAAATATACTGTAACATTAATACTGTATAGTCTATTCATGATCAGTAGTGCAAAAATGTGATAAGCAAATGTTTTAATTTTATCATTTAGATGAAAACAATTTTGTTTTTAAATTAAGATACAATTATATACAGTATGTTTGGGGCCTTATAAAGGCTGCTTCCCCTTGAAAATGTTTGCTGTATTTTCCTGAACTCAATGCATATCATATAGGCACTAATAGGGCTTTCAATGGACTCTTGTCATTTAGTTTAGAAGTCAATTTTTTTCCCCCCTGAAATGTAGAGGGTAAGCTAAAAACATGTCATATTGATAGGTCCTTTCAAAACCAAAAGTCAAAGCTCATTTTGGGGAATCAAAAACATATACTCCCAGTGGTCTATTCAAAGCTTTTTTAATTAGCTGCCTGGTAATCATGAAAGTCAAAATAATTAAATATGTAACAGGAGAAAGAGAAATGCAACCCAGACCAGGGTTTGAACCTGGGACCCTCCAAACTCTAGACAGACGCTCTAATCAATTGAGCTACCAGATCGACCCAGTCCAGTACATCTGTACAACCAGCTCTGGTAATCTTGTGCATAAAGTAATCTTGCTCATTGTTATACCGATCTATTTCTCGGGATATTTGGCACACCTAGTTAAGAACCTATATCATTATGGTTTAATTGATTTAACCATTTGTAAACAGAGAATTTGCACTTTCATATATTACATGTATATATATATGCATAATCAATTATTTTTTTTAACCCTGCTTGATAATTACATGGAAAAAATTATCTCTATATGATTATAACCACTTGTGTATTTTCTTAAACTCATTTCAGAGGCATTGTAAATAAAACTCACTATGATGGGCCGGGTCACAAATGTAAAAGCTTTAGTGTGTTTGATATAACACCACATATAAACACCCCCTCCGCATAAAGCCATTTTGGTCTCTGTGGGGTATAACATATATAGATTGATATGTAACAGGAAAGAGAATAGTGTGCTTCCACCGGTGATCGAACCCTCGATCTCCAGGTTTCTAGTCGGACGCTCTACCACTGAGCTAGAGCTTGAGGGGAAATTCCCTCTAGCTCGAAGGCGACCTTAATCCTATGTACAATTGAACCCTGCCACACTACTCCCCCTTTTTAAATGTGTTCGCACTCGAACACCACAACCCAGGTTCTAACTCCTTGTCATCACAGGGAGGGCCTGGACACCTTTCAAAACAAGAATGAGAATAGTGTGCTTCCACCGGGAATCAAACACTCGATCTCCAGGTTTCTAGTCGGACGCTCTACCACTGAGCTAAAGGGAAATTCCCTCTAGCTCGAAGCTGACCTTAATCATATGTACAATTGAACCCTGCCACACTTAAAACTCACTACAAAATGCATACATTTACCACTAAAATTATGCATATGCAGAAAAGGTATGTGCTCAGAATATTAGGAGATGTTGAATATCACTATACACTGCTTAGTAGTGGCTGTTGATATAGTAGTCAACACCAATGGAAAGCTTGAGGTAGCTTCTTGTGGCACATTTTCATGTTCCTATACTAATACTTGACTTCCGGTGCGTATATATATATTGATATAGAGAAATTAAATCTTACAGTTAAAAGGTGAGTTAAAATATTAAATGGTCCGACAGGATCTTGCTAATAGCAGGAGGCATTGCATTTACAGGGGTTATCAGACCAGAACTTGTTGAGTCTGTGTTTAAAACTGTTTACACTAGGGGCATTTACCACATGGTTTGACAGACTATTCCAGGACTCCACAACCCTGTTGCTGTAGCTGTTACTGCTTACTGTGCTCGAGTCTGATTGTTTTCTCATTTTTAAAGGGATCCAGGATCAATTCATTGATTAAACTCACCCACAATATGTCCATTTTACAGAGTAGGACGCCTACATTAATAATACTGCATTCATACCATGACAGTCTTGACAGACCTGTTTGATATTATTGATTCGCAATTTCGCATGCCCAGTCTTGTGATCAACAATCATCATAGAAATCATATTCTTTAGAGACTTTTTCGTTTCCATTTAAATTTTCTTTTTCAAAATTCCTGTAGTCAGAGAAACAAGTAACCCCGAACAAAGGTAAGAGATCATCCCAATCGAAGGTCATCACAAAAAAACACCCAATGAAAGTGAGCTGTTTTCAGATTCGTAACCAAAGTCGGTCAAATTTAAATCGACAATTTGTAGTAAATATCCCATAAACAGATAACTTCATGTACTTACATTATATATCACATTAGAAATAATGACGTTGATATGTGAAGAAGTATCGAAACCCAACAGGAATCCGAAAATTTGGCAAATACCAAAGACATTTTTCAGAGTTCCTTTCAGACGTCCATTTTTTCGACAGGAAGTAGTATTGTGTGACTAATATTTGACATGTAGAACGATAATATTTCCGGGTCGATATCATTTTCCGTGATTAAAGGGGTCGTAGTATAACGGAAAGTACGTAGTTTATTAAATATTCAAAGGATTTTTTTTTTTATTGTTAAAAATATAAAATATAGATATATTCTAATAGATACAGTGTATAACAGTTCTAAATACAAGAGGTCGAGAGGGCCTGTTAAGTTAAGTTTATTCTGGTACAGGATTTTAACAATCATCTTCACTGGACTTAAAATCATACAACACATAGTACATACTTATACAAATGATACAAACAAAATGTACAATGTAATATAATTATCAACAATAATCCTCCGCATTATAGCCATTCTGGCCTCTGTTGAGTGTGACCACGGAATTAGATTAGATCTAAGTCCGTGGTGTGACATATAGATAGATAAATAATACAGCCAGTTAAGTTTTACATTCAGATTAGATTTTCATATTAAAAAATCGGCTCTGTATTGTACATCTGTTAGCACGTAAAGCGATTGTTAATGCAAAATAATAGTAAAAGTCGTTCCTGCTCCATTGAAACAATACAATTGAGGTGTAGTGATCATGACTATTATATTATGAACTCGTTCAAAATACTCCACACGCATACGTTTCTGTTCAGTTTTGAGCTGTGGTATGGATTTCAAATTCAGATTAGCGTCGCAAGGAATCGGTACATCATTTGTGTGCCAAATTAATCCGGTATTTTCCACAGAGGAAAAAAATGCTGATAAAAAGGATATTCTACGTAAGTACAATTGCCATGTCAGGTTTAGTTTATTTCTTTAATTCTGGATACCTTCCATCCAGGTTCCATCGGAAACATCAATGCTATCAGCAGACACTTGACATTTAGCAATTTCAAAAGTCAATTAACTTTTCCCTCGGATTTAAAGTCTTATCATATTTGACCTCCGTGACCTTTAAGTAAGTCAGTCTTATGTTTATATATATATAACTTCTGTGACCTTGAAGTAGTTCAAGATCAAGCCACTGACCAAATATCGTGAATCATCGCTTGAAGCTTTTGACAACTACATGGCTTTGCAAAGAGACTAATAATTTATTTCCGCAACTTTTGTAGGAATCCATGCCGGCTAGCTATATATGGCATTTGTCTTTATATCATGACTCTGTCGTCTGCTGGATAACCGAACTACTCGGTAGTGAAGCGGACGTAAAACATACCAATCAATCAATCAATCAATCAATATCATGACTCTATCATCGCTCGGTCCTTCAGAAGAAGACGTCGTTCGAGCGTTTAAAATATATGACCCTGATGACCTTGGTAGTAGGTCTAATGTTTAAACAAATTTACCAGTGCGACCTTGAATACAAGTTAAGAAAATATCTTTTCATGAACTTTGTAGCACTCCATACCAAAAGGCCACTGACAAAGACCCCCCTCCCCCGCGGTAACATCCGGGCCAACAAGAGTGATTCATGTAAGTTGAATAACTTGTTTCATAATTGTTGTAAAATAAATAAAGTTTATATTTTATACATTTATAAAAGTACTCAGAATATAAGCATAATATTGAATTTAAGCACTTTGTAAGCCCTCCTTTCTCAGTTTAAAAGACTTTTAATGATGAGATCCAAAAGTGTGGGTCACTTAATTAATGATGTAATTGACTTGTTTCTTTCAAAAAATAATTTCCTAATGTCAGAGTTGTACGTATATTTAAAAAAAATGTACCTCGTCTTCTAGTGTGTTACAGTTCTAACAGTTCTTACAAAGACAAAATCAAACAAACAAACAAACAAACAAACAAAGACATATAAAGCCAGGGTGTTCGGTTCATTAAGAGAAGCGGTGGACCTTTTATTTGACACATTTGACTAATGTCCATGGTAAGTAGTCCAAGGTAAATGTTCTTTTAGCAGGTATTGCTATTTCCGCCTGATAGAAGACTGCACTCTTGACCTAGGTATCACTATTTTTGTCTGACAGCAGACTGCAGTCTAGACCTAAGAATCATTACTTCCGTCTGACAGGAGACTGCAGTCTAGACCTAGGTATCAATACTTCCACCTGACAGCAGACTGCAGTCTAGTCCTAGGTATCACTACTTCCGCCCAAAAGCAGACCGCAGTCTAGACCTAGGTATCACTACTTCTGTCTGACAGCAGTCTGCAGTCTAGTCCTAGGTATCACTACTTCCATCCGACAGCAGACTGCAGTCTAGACCTAGGTATAACTACTTCCGCCCAACAGCAGATCGCAGTCTAGACCTAGGTATCACTACTTCCGTCTGACAGCAGACTGCAGTCTAGACCTAGGTATAACTACTTCCGCCAAACAGCAGACTACAGTCTAGACCTAGGTATAACTACTTCCACCTGACAGCAGACTGCAGTCTTGACCTAGGTATCACTACTTCCGCCTGATAGAAGACTGCAGTCTAGAACTATGAACTACTACTTCCGCCTGACAGCAGACTGCAGTCTAGACCTAGGTATCACTACTTCCGTCTGAAAGCAGACTTCATTCTTGACCTAGGTATTTCTATTTCGGCCTGACAGCAGACTGCAGTCTAGACCTAAGAATCATTGCTTCCGTCTGACAGCAAACTTCATATTAGACCTAGGTCTTTTTACTTCCGCCTGACAGCAGACTTCAGTTTTGACCTAGGTATCACTTTTCCCGTCTGACAGCAGACTGCAGTCTATACCTAGGTATCAATATTTCCGTCTGACAGCAGACTGCAGTCTAGACCTAGGTATCAATACTTCCACCTGACAGCAGATCACTGCAATCTAGACCTAGGTATCACTATTTCCACCTGACAGCAGACTTCATTCTTGACCTAGGTATTTCTACGCCCGCCTGACAGCAGACTGCAGTCTAGACCTAAGAATCATTACTTCCGTCTGACAGCAAACTTCATATTAGACCTAGGTCTTTTTACTTCCGCCTGACAGCAGACTTCAGTCTGGACCTAGGTATCACTTCTCCCGTCTGACAGCAGACTGCAGTCTAGACCTAGGTATCAATACTTCCCCCTGACAGCAGACTGCAGTCTAGTCCTAGGGATCACTACTTCCATCCGACAGCAGACTGCAGTCTAGACCTAGGAATCACTACTTCCGCCAAACAGCAGACTACAGTCTAGACCTAGGTATCACTAATTCCGCCTGACAGCAGACTGCAGTCTAGACCTAGGTATCACTACTTCCGCCAAACAGCAGACTACAGTCTAGACCTAGGTATCACTAATTCCGCCTGACAGCAGACTGCAGTCTAGACCTAGGTACTACTACTTCCGCCTGACAACAGACTGCAGTCTAGACATAGGTATCACTATTTCTGCCTGACAGCAGACTGCAGTCTAGACATAGGTATCACTATGTCCGCCTGACGGCAGACCGCAGTCTAGACCTAGGTATCACTGCTTCCGCCTGACAGCAGACTGCAGTCTAGACCTAGGTATCACTACTTCCGCCTGACGTCTAGACCTAGGTATCACGTCTTTCGCTTGACAGCAGACTACAGTCTAGTCTTAGGTATCACTACTTCCGCCTCACAGCAGACCGCATGTATCACTTCTTCGCCCACCATCAAACGAAGGTCTAGATCTAATTCGACGTACTTGTATCTGCATTCTGATATAAAGCTCTTTAGAGTAATTTCACAATTTTATAGGGCGTTATATAAATGTTGTATTTATTTCATTATTTAATATTTGTGAAGTTTAACGTCCTAAGATTCAGAGAAAGAAACAAGATCACCAATCAATCATACGGTTATAAAATTCCCTAGAAATAGAAATAGTCACAATAGTAGGATGAATTGAAGCCGAAGGCACATTATTTTCATTTGCTACAAGTGTTCAGATAATTAAACTAAACGTGTTAATTGAAAGAAAGAAAGAAAGAAAGAAAGAAAAATATGACAATATTTTTAGTCTTTTTACCCTTTTATAATTTAGATAACCTCACTGCAATTAACAACTACCAGTGTTATAAAGTAATTATTAACATATGGTTAACATTTAGTTTTTTAGAAGACACATTACTTACTTCCATTCTGAATAAAATCAGCTTGATCAGCAAAAATATTGCCGAAGAGAATTCTACTGCTGACAATGATATCTCTGTCATAACTGCCGACATTAAATTTGATGGGGGACCATTGACAAAACTCTCACCAACAACCCAGGACGAGTTGCGCAAGATCATCATGACACATCGCAATCGAAGTCCTGTGAGCTTCATCTACTGCCTACAGACCTATTAAAGCAATGTCTTGAAGCACTGCTTCCTTTGATTACCTCAATCGTGAACAAATCATTCGGTGAGTCAAAGGTTCCATTGTGTTTCAAGAAGGCACATGTTAGACCTTTGATGAAGATGCCTGGAATGGACAATCCAGCAGTTTATAACTGCAGATACATGCAATATTTTGGTGCATTCACTTGTTACCTCTCGGTTGGATTATGGTAACGCCCTGTTCTGTGGTATATCTGACAAACTAACTAGTCGTCTGTAGAGGGTCCAGAACACTGCAGCACGGCTGGTTACTCGTACTCAAAAGAGGGAGCACATTAAACATGTGTTATATTCATTGCACTGGTTACCTGTACGCACGATACAGGTCACAGTACAAAATTTTCGTGTACACATACAAGGCGTTGAATGGAGCAGCTCCCCAGTACCAACAAGAACTTGTTACCCTGTATCAGCCGTCACGATCACTGCTGTCGGAGTCAGAATCATTGTTGTGTGTCCCAAAATCTCGTACTGTGACCTATGGAAACCGGTGCTTTAGGAGGGTTTCGGCCACGGTGTGTAAAAGCTTACCATCTGCTATTTAGAAAGTCAAATACTCTAGCCAAATTTAGGAAGGACATCAAAACTCACCTCTTCACGTCTGTATTTTAGGCTCTTTGCAAAGATGACATGTGAAAAACACCTATTATATATTCATTTATGTGCACATTGCGATGAATATCTGCTTGCTTAATGTATAAAAGTGATTGTAAGCCTTTTTTTTTTTTCACAATTATAACTAACACTATTATCCATATGTTGTAAAGCGCTTTCGAGTAATTTTACAAAAAATATATAGCGCGCTATATAAATATGTATACCCCATGTAACCTAATTAGCTGTTGGGAGGACGTAAAACCCCAAGAAAACAAAATCATAAATTAGAATTTGCGCGGAAAGATTGCGTTTTAAAAAATAAATCACATTTTGCTAAAATTTGACTTTCGGTCACCTTACTGAAATGCGAAAATTTCCAAACACGAAAATTGACATTTCTTCAGTACATATATATATATCATATACCTCCCACTGTAGGCTTACGTCTTTTTTCAATCTTGTCTATCTTGCCGTGGTATTTCTACACACACCCGTTGATCTTACGTTATAATGTGTATTGTTGAACTCGTGCCAATGTTTCAAAGATAGCCAAGAGATCACCCGGTGCCATGCACCCTGACTACCGTTCCACCCGTTAACTGTCCGCCCCGTTCAACGCGTAAACCAGATCACACGTAAATACACGTAAATCGCCACCTCGTATGTCCAGCTACATCACGCATATTGGGAGATAGCGTTGTGTATGTTTTTCATATACTTAGTTATTGCGTCTGTAATAGATCGGTGATTTAGCTTTAACCTACGTGCAAAACTATCCTAAACAAACTATTGCATTTCTGCCCATCTCTCTTCGCACGGTGAAGTGTTTACAGCCTGGCGTGCCGGTCGAAGTGACTTGGTTTACATTATCGCTAGTGATGACGGAAGTGTGCACGATAAGAGCGAAATATGATAGTCATCGGAGCGGAGTTTTATTGTAGGTATTTTCTCAATGAACACTGTACACAGACCATGTGCTGGAGGAATCCCCAGTTTTGGGACACACGGCTAAAATTCCGAATGAATCAATGAGTTTGTTGTTCCAATCTCATAAAAAGCAGCTAGAGAAACTGTTTTCTTGGCGGGCGCGGAGAAGTTTTGCAGCTTAAAAATAAATGGAGTGAGGGTAAGGAAAGGTGGCATGGATTTCGAGATGTACCTTGAACTGGTGATGCTGATGTCCTGGGTAGGAGACACCCTGGCCTGCCTTCCAGCGGCGGACTGGTGCGCACGTTGTGATGACGTAATGTTAAACTGTATTGACGTCAACGCGAGTTGTTTGGCTGTCGACCATGCTTTTCGTGTGAGTATTTATGATTTAATCTCTTTCCGATATCAATTCTTTTCAATTCGTAATGTTTTTTAAAAGATAATATATATCTTTACAAAAAAAACACACACTTGAACTACGGTTTCGATCATTACTGTATAATATCAAATATTCGAGAGCACGGTCTTTCGCGGTTTTAATAGCTATTGGGATATTTACAGACGATGTGACATGGGCGAGTTGCTTGATCTGGAGCGTTCAGGGATTATAATAGCATTATCTTCTTTCCTGTTCGTTTTTATGGATAGAGATTTTCGTGTCCGCCGGTGTGTCAGTTTTGTTGTACACAAATTCGCTGTGTTACTAGTAACATTTGCTGTTCCCAAAACAATGTGTTGTGTGGTTTAGGAAAACGGGCACTGTTGCCCTGACTAACAGGCTGAAAGAGGCATGCACAATTCGGAGCTCTTCTGCTGAAACCTGATAACATGATATCAGGGAAATAGTTCTCAATCTTAATTAACATGATATTATGCTGGGGTAAAATTCTTCTCAAAGACGCTGACATGTACAAATAATGACGAAGATATGAGAAACATCAACTATGCTTTGATAATATCCAGATAACACCTTTTGAATGTGATACATATATTTAAACGCTGAAATATAAGGTAAAAGTTATGTATCAAATAACCAACTGTTCAAGCGTAGACTGCCTTGTACTGGTGACTAAAGCGACACGTTAAGGCAGATTTTACCCCAGTGATCTATCCGTTTATTAGGGTCGAGTTTTTACTTCTCTGTCATAGCGGTGTACTATTGTATCAACCGTCAATATGTACCTCAAATTCGAATGGTTGATTCAAACGTTAAGGTTTTGATGAGCAGTTTATATCTGCTTATTGATAGTCCGTCACCGAGTAGCTACAAAAATCTTTCCAAAACTTACTTGTAATGTCGTAAAGAACATAATTGTTTTATATTTAGTTTTCGTTAAACGTATTTCGATTAACGACTTTACAAAAACAAAGGATTGACAAGGCTTATTTCAAATTAGAAAAGAAACGGCGTGAGTTTATAAAGCTTATTTCAAATGTTTATTACTCATCGGCTTCACTAGCACACTACAAATGTTTGTTACTCATCTGCTTCACTAGCACACTACAAATGTTTGTTACTCATCGGCTTCACTAGCACACTACAAATGTTTATTACTCATCTGCTTCACTAGCACACTACAAATGTTTGTTACTCATCGGCTTCACTAGCACACTACAAATGTTTATTACTCATCTGCTTCACTAGCACACCACAAGTGTTTGTTACTCATCGGCTTCACTAGCACACTACAAATGTTTATTCCTCATCCCGTTCACTAGCACACCACAAGTGTTTGTTACTCATCGGCTTCACTAGTACACTACAAATGTTTATTACTCATCGGCTTCCCTAGCACACTACACATGTTTATTACTCAACGGCTTCACTAGCACACTACAAATGTTTGTTACTCATCGGCTTCACTAGCACACTACAAATGTTTGTCACTCATCTGCTTCACTAGCACACTAAAAATGTTTATTAATGGGTAACCGTACAAAGCTTAATACAATGAGTGGCATTATCAAGCTTATTTCAAATGTTTGTTAAAATGAATGGCATTTTAAAGCTTTTTGCAAATGTTTATAGATCCAGCGTCAAACGTCAGCAGATGGCTTTACACACCTATCTTGAACACTCGACAGTATCCGTCTGTCTGCCAATGTTCGTCATTAAACAGTTTCCGTCCTGCTGTCTATATCCGTCACTCAACAGTATCAGTACTTTCGTTTATATCTATCACTCAGAAGTATCTTTCTGTTTGTTTATATTCCTAACTGTATACCCCGCTACCATGTCCATCATAGTCACTTCTATCACGTTGGAGTGCGTGTCCGCCACTCCATAGCATCCGTACCTGTCCGCCTGTTTATATTCATTACTCCATACACGCCGCCCGTATGTCATCCTCGACATCCAGGGGTTACGCTCGCGTACACTCTCTGCATGAAGGCTCAGTGTACATCACCTTGTGGATGAGACAAGAAGACTAGTTTGATCCTTTGATGTACATCAAAAGAATGTTGCGGTCGCGTAACGGTAAAAAATGACTGACTTTGAAGTCGGGTGTCACCCCTTTGTAATCTTCAAAAAACAAGTATCAGCCTAGCGATTGGTCAGGATTTTTTTTACCTGAGACCAATCAAACAGCTATCTTTGTGCCTTCATTTTTTCTATGACATATTTCAGGGGTGCAGAGAGCGTAAGTGAGCGTAACCCCTGGATGTCGAAGATGCCCGTATGTCAAACGTCACTACTTCTCCACTGAATGCCCTCTCTCTGTCGGTCTACTTCGTCACACTATTTCATCAGTTATCTGTCTATATTCGTCACTTCATTCTTGCGTCCGTCTGCTACTTCCTCACTATATCCGTCCGTTTACGTTTGTAACGCTATACTTTTCGTCCTTTTGTCTATATTTGTCACTCCATAATATCCGTCTATCTATGTGTCTTTCCCCACTGATCTATGTCCGTCATATGCACTTCATGGTTTCAGTTTGTCTGTCCATGTTACATAATTATGTAGTGATAGCGTCTGTCCATGTTACATAATTATGTAGTGATAGCGTCTGTCCATGTTACATAATTATGTAGTGATAGCGTCTGTCCATGTTACATAATTATGTAGTGATAGCGTCTGTCCATGTTACATAATTATGTAGTGATAGCGTCTGTCCATGTTACATAATTATGTAGTGATAGCGTCTGTCCATGTTACATAATTATGTAGTGATAGCGTCTGTCCATGTTACATAATTATGTAGTGATAGCGTCTGTCCATGTTACATAATTATGTAGTGATAGCGTCTGTCCATGTTACATAATTATGTAGTGATAGCGTCTGTCCATGTTACATAATTATGTAGTGATAGCGTCTGTCCATGTTACATAATTATGTAGTGATAGCGTCTGTCCATGTTACATAATTATGTAGTGATAGCGTCTGTCCATGTTACATAATTATGTAGTGATAGCGTCTGTCCATGTTACATAATTATGTAGTGATAGCGTCTGTCCATGTTACATAATTATGTAGTGATAGCGTCTGTCCATGTTACATAATTATGTAGTGATAGCGTCTGTCCATGTTACATAATTATGTAGTGATAGCGTCTGTCCATGTTACATAATTATGTAGTGATAGCGTCTGTCCATGTTACATAATTATGTAGTGATAGCGTCTGTCCATGTTACATAATTATGTAGTGATAGCGTCTGTCCATGTTACATAATTATGTAGTGATAGCGTCTGTCCATGTTACATAATTATGTAGTGATAGCGTCTGTCCATGTTACATAATTATGTAGTGATAGCGTCTGTCCATGTTACATAATTATGTAGTGATAGCGTCTGTCCATGTTACATAATTATGTAGTGATAGCGTCTGTCCATGTTACATAATTATGTAGTGATAGCGTCTGTCCATGTTACATAATTATGTAGTGATAGCGTCTGTCCATGTTACATAATTATGTAGTGATAGCGTCTGTCCATGTTACATAATTATGTAGTGATAGCGTCTGTCCATGTTACATAATTATGTAGTGATAGCGTCTGTCCATGTTACATAATTATGTAGTGATAGCGTCTGTCCATGTTACATAATTATGTAGTGATAGCGTCTGTCCATGTTACATAATTATGTAGTGATAGCGTCTGTCCATGTTACATAATTATGTAGTGATAGCGTCTGTCCATGTTACATAATTATGTAGTGATAGCGTCTGTCCATGTTACATAATTATGTAGTGATAGCGTCTGTCCATGTTACATAATTATGTAGTGATAGCGTCTGTCCATGTTACATAATTATGTAGTGATAGCGTCTGTCCATGTTACATAATTATGTAGTGATAGCGTCTGTCCATGTTACATAATTATGTAGTGATAGCGTCTGTCCATGTTACATAATTATGTAGTGATAGCGTCTGTCCATGTTACATAATTATGTAGTGATAGCGTCTGTCCATGTTACATAATTATGTAGTGATAGCGTCTGTCCATGTTACATAATTATGTAGTGATAGCGTCTGTCCATGTTACATAATTATGTAGTGATAGCGTCTGTCCATGTTACATAATTATGTAGTGATAGCGTCTGTCCATGTTACATAATTATGTAGTGATAGCGTCTGTCCATGTTACATAATTATGTAGTGATAGCGTCTGTCCATGTTACATAATTATGTAGTGATAGCGTCTGTCCATGTTACATAATTATGTAGTGATAGCGTCTGTCCATGTTACATAATTATGTAGTGATAGCGTCTGTCCATGTTACATAATTATGTAGTGATAGCGTCTGTCCATGTTACATAATTATGTAGTGATAGCGTCTGTCCATGTTACATAATTATGTAGTGATAGCGTCTGTCCATGTTACATAATTATGTAGTGATAGCGTCTGTCCATGTTACATAATTATGTAGTGATAGCGTCTGTCCATGTTACATAATTATGTAGTGATAGCGTCTGTCCATGTTACATAATTATGTAGTGATAGCGTCTGTCCATGTTACATAATTATGTAGTGATAGCGTCTGTCCATGTTACATAATTATGTAGTGATAGCGTCTGTCCATGTTACATAATTATGTAGTGATAGCGTCTGTCCATGTTACATAATTATGTAGTGATAGCTTATTTGTTTAATGCCTCATCGACAAAGTGATATCCTTTCGAGCAATTACACAGTAAAATGGAAATGTGTTCGGCGACCAACTGTGCTACAGACTCAACTCCCAGATTAATGCGGTAGGGTAGCTGCCTGAGAAAAGATGTAGACTATCAGAGGAGCTCGGAGCTCTTCAATTACCCCACGCAACGGTTTCATTGTTCCTACCCTCAAACCCCCCGACCCTCCCCTCCGGATTTGAGGGGGGGAGGGGCGTCTTTCTACTGTATCCCCCTCTCTCTATCGGTCTTTCATT